GCTTCAGGTTTCTGAAGAATGATTTCTGTGTGCTGGACCAAATCTTGGTGCTGGGCAGTACTGAAAACATGCTTACTTTTAGCAGATAAATTTAATAAATCATTGAACAATTTGGCAGCTGTTCATAGCGTGTTCTGATCTGCATTAAACATAGCTGTTGTTATGGTACTGTTATGTTCCCTGTTTTGTCTGTGTTGGAGTTGCTGGTTTTGACTGATGTTGGCTTTGCATATAAGATATAATCTTTTCTTTCTGGTTGAGCGTGTTATCCAAATTTTGAACGGAAACCTTTTAGCTTAAACAGATGCCATAGTTCTAGCAATAATTATATTTGATGAATGAAATTTGTGTGGTATTTAGCTTTAAGTGTGTACTTCATTGAAATAATTGTGTCTATTATGTTCCATAAAAAGAAAGTTGCATATGAGTGAGAACCTTGCTTGAGAGAAAATGTGCATACCCAGTAATTTTCAGTACTGAAATGGAAAAAAGAGATTGTGTGAACCTTTTTTGCATCTGAAAAGAATCATTGAGAGTACATGTATCAAAAGTGAGAATGCTGTGACAAAAAGGTATCTGCCTCTTGCTATGAGTACTTTGACCATCAATAAGCTTACCTATTTAAACTGCCAAAGCATGGTTGTCTTTTTACAAGCTATGTGATTACCATTCAGCAATGACTGTGGCTTTGAAATTACAGGATCTGACTCTGGCTTTGAAATTACAGGATCTGTCTTTCTCAAAGAGTGAGTGAGGACTGAAATGAAATTGCTGTGAAGTTATCTTATTGGTCCCTTTCTTTCAGCTTAAATTTCTATCCTTACATAATTTTGGGGAAGTTGGAAAGGTAGGAAGAGGGACGGAGGTGCGTGTTTAATAATCATGTGGATGCTTATGGTAGAAGGCCTTTAACTAGCAAAAAACCCAAACCAAACCAAAAACAACTTATATATGACTGCTACAGAAGGGGTCCTCTTGAATTTATTGGCTGAAATGCCACTCACTTTTACGAAGGATGATAGCCAAGTAACTAACTTGCCTGCAGGTTAGATAAGTGTAACTCCAAAACACATTCGAGCATGCAGATTCAGTATGCGGTGCGCAGAGAGATTTCATACCTCAGAGTGATAAACAGAGTACGGAGAAGGGTGCTGCCTGGAAACCATCAATCAGGAAGCAACGAGCACAGGAGCAACACTCGAGTTTCTTTTTACCTGGGTTCCAAAGCCAGCAGTCCTCTTACTAGGTTAGGTATCTTCTTCGCAACAGCTGATCACCACTCCCTCTTGTCCTTCTTGAAAAGAAGATATGGCTGATGACTTATGCAACAGCCAAATGGCTAATGCTCACTTCCCACTTCAAGCACTTGGCTAAGTCCAGGCAGCAGCTTGCATGAAGTCATTCTCCTCCTCTTCTCTTAACACTGTGTAGAACAGCATACAAGCTTCACACTGAGGGGAGAAAGCACAAAACAGGAGGTAGCTATTTGCTTAGAGAGCTGGGATGGTGAGAGAGCATACATGAGATTATCTTTCTTAGTCACTTTTTCTGGGTGACCGAGCACTGGCTCCAGAGGTTGTGGAGTTTCCATCCTTGGAGATATTCAGAAGCCATCTAGACATGTTCCTGGGCAACTGGCTCTAGGTGGCCCTGCTTGAGCAGAGGAGTTGGACAAGATGATGTCCAGAGGTCCCTTCCAACCTCAACCATTATGGGGTTTTGTGGTTCCTTTGGCTTTTCCTATTCTTATATTATGAGAGACAGCAATCATTCACTTTCCCTGTGCCACTAATAATTCTGTAGACCTCTATGATACCTTTTTTCAGTCACTTTTGAATGGAGATCAGGTGGAGCAGAACTGAACATAGTACTGAAGATAAGAGGTGCCATGGCTGTGTATTGTAGCAGGTAGTGTATATAAATATACAGTGTATGTAGATAGCTCCTGCTTTTCTTCTCTGTTTCTTCGCTAACAATTCTGAACACTTGGCTGATGTTTTCATGGAGTAGACTATCAAAACTTGAAGATCTGTTTTTCTTCTGGATGGTAATCGTTGGTTTAGCATCTGTTACTATGCAGATAACTTTTTTTCTATACATGCGTAGCTTTACCTTTAGCAACACTGACTTTTATCTGTCAGCTTATTAGCTTGTCACTAACTGTCATGAGATCCCTCTGTACCTCTTTATAGTTGACCTTTGTTTTTATTAAATTGCTCTGAAAAAGAGTTCATGTTCATCATCAGCAAATGTTGTGGTTTCACATTTTCCTCTTCTCCCCTATAGGTTGACGAGCTTGAACGCCAGTATAGATTTTCTTTGTAGGATCATTCTGGTGACCTTTTTTCACTGCAAAACTAACTGCTCCTTCTTTTGTTTCCTATTTTAAACTAATTATTGTCTGTGAGAGGGCTTTACGTTTATCTAATGGCAGATTAGTTTCTTTTAGAGCCTTGGTGGAGAGACGTTGTCAAAAAGAATCAGAAATGCAAAAGTTACCTTTGCTGGCTTATTGCTTACAGAGCTCTAAAAGATACTGCCCTGGGGATCTAATTTTCTGTACTCCATGATTTTAAATCCAGAATTATTTGTTGAATTTATGCTCTTTTGCAGTCCCTGCAGAACGCTACAACTTCGTTCCCTCTTCAGTGCTCTTGGCTTGTGGAGTCATAAACCTCGGTGGAACTTTGGGTGAGATTTTCAAGTTCATTGCTAAAATCCTTGCTTATTTATCTTGGAAAGCTGTGTTAACCTTTCTGCTGCTGGTTACAGATTTTATTCTAACAAATATGTTAAAGATGACTAGTAAAGGAAAGGTTTATAAAGATAAAAGAAAGAAGAGTTTTGGCTACTACATATGCTTTAGCCTGTAATTAACATTGAGGCTTTCTCTAGAAGAGTTACTGTAAAATAAAGATGAAAGGGAGAGAATGGAGAGAAAAGGAAAATCTAGAATAAAGTTAACAGAATTTGGCATTTTGGCAAAATGTCAATGTACATAGCTTAGTATACTTTTGCTGAGTTTAACAATCTTTGAAATATAATAGGATAAAATAGAAAATTATGACATTCCCTCCCATTCAAGCAGGAAGACCTCTAGAAAGTGGAATTTGTATGACTGAATGACATTGGAATATTTATAATAATATCCCTTCATGATCCCACTGGAAAATTAAAGGAGACAGAGAGGTTAATCATTTGTCTTAGAAAAAAGGCAGTCTGGCCCTGGAAATCATCTAGCGATACTGAGCTTGCAGATAGGAAGGAAATAGCTTTGCTATGGAATGAGAGGAGCAGGTCATAGTGCTGATGTTCCTTGATGAATCCTTGGCAGCAGCCTGAGCAGGCTTGCATTTGAATCGCTAGAAGTCCAAACTGGGGACATAGGTTAGACTTTGTTGTCTTGCAGTTCATTTCTTTGTTGGTGAAGTATTATCCAGGGAAGAGTAAACTTTTGATCCTTCACGAAGCATGTGGTCCTTGTGTAAATTTGTAAAAGGATTCCTTCCTCCTTTCACTTTTGCCCGATGTTGATGCCAATCAGAACCTGAATAAATACTGCGGGCAGGATTTGTGTTACCAAACATAAGCTTCTTGAGTTAGTAGCACAAGCTTGTCACCATGTGCAGAGATGGAGGAGATGGATTGCCCTCTGAAGATGCCTATATCCCTCTTCTGACTAAAAACATGAAAACAGCCTTAAGTGACTATTACAGTCATCCAGAATGAATGAGGTGAATCCCACTTTGTTTCTGGCTATGGTGATCTGTTTTTTTAAAAGGGCATAGAATCTTTCTGGTTTCCAGCTTGATCAGATGCCAGAGTACTCTGGGAGCGTTTAATTTAATAGTCCAAGATAGAGGGGAGGAGCTCTATGAAGAGCTAGCACTGAAAAGGGGAGACAAGTCTCAACTCCTTTGTGTTTTATTTGTCTGTAAGAACAGTACATGTAATAATACAATACATGTAATAATAGTACAACAAAACAGTACACGTAAACTATAAAAGGAAATGTTGCACTGTATCAGCATAACGATGAGGGAGGGAGTTCAGCAGAAGTTCTAAGAATTAGACTTACAGGGAAAAAGAGGGCACACATGGTTAAATTATGTGGGATACCAAGATGAATTAACAAAGACGTCTAGACCAGTGAAAGCAGGAAAGCTTGCTGCAGGGGGAAGGGTTGTAGCGACTGAAGAAGAGTCAGTTTGCTGCACCTTGATAGGAATCAGTCACTAAATGAAACAAATTGAGAAATACTTTAATCCTGTGGACAAGTTATTTAATAATTAATAACAGGTTAGGGTGTTTTACATGTTTTTCCTGAGACGGCTGCTGCTGCTGACTGACATGGAACCAAGGATTCTGTATTACATAGGATAGCTCAGACAGGTAGGCTTTTCAGTGCTTACCAAACAGGCAGATGGGTGACGCTGATACTATTTAAGCTGTTTGGAAATGTTATTAAAGGTTCCAGCTGTAGGCAGTTTAAAAACAAAATCATGAAGTTAGTTTTATGAAATGTAAATGAAGATACTGATTGGATTTATTCACTCTTAATCAGTAAAGTTTGTTTTCAAGCACAAAAGTTTTCCAGTCCTGGTTATAGCAGAAAAAAGCTTGGTGAGTTGAGAGTATTGTACAGTATCGGCAAGACTACAGGCACAGGATCTATAAGAAAAAGACCAAATATTACGAGACTGCTGTGACTGGTGCTTAAGTAAATTGTGTCAACCTGAAGTGTAAGTATGTCTTAAGGGTCCTTTTGTCATTAAGGAAAGCGGAGCAACCGTTTGGTTCCCATTGGTTTCAGAGAGTCTTACTTTGTTCCTTTAAATTTCTTTCTTCTTTTTCAGATGGAAATACTGGCATGAATTTAAGAATTTTGATGCTTTCAGATGTTGAATTTTGATTTGTTAAATGACCAGGAATAAGATACTGCCTGAACAAGATGAAATGCCTTGAAGACCTTTGGTTCTGCTTTTATTTCTCCTGAAGCAATGGTTTTCTCAGCAATGTTGACGCTGGCCCACTCTGGGACCTCAAATGCTACTTTTATTGTTTATGAAAATGCCTATACGAATTTTACCACTCCCCAGTTCATGCTTCGTAGTGGCACAACACAGCCATTGAGATATAGTTCAGGTGCCGTGCTCACCACTGAGAGAAGTACTTTTCTGGTAAATGCTACAGCTATCCTGCCATCGCAAGAAGTTTTCAGGAGCTTGAGTTTGCCACTCCAGATCATTCTTTCTGCTGCTATGATATTTATCCTGTTGGTTTCTTTCCTTGGAAACTTTGTTGTCTGCCTCATGGTGTACCAGAAGGCAGCTATGCGATCTGCAATTAACATCCTCTTAGCAAGCCTGGCTTTTGCAGACATGCTGCTGGCAGTGCTGAACATGCCTTTTGCTCTGGTAACAATCATTACCACTCAGTGGATTTTTGGGGATATATTCTGCAGAGTGTCTGCCATGTTCTTCTGGCTTTTTGTCATAGAGGGGGTAGCCATTCTTCTTATTATTAGTATTGACCGATTTCTTATCATAGTTCAGAGGCAAGATAAACTGAACCCTTACCGTGCGAAGATTCTCATTGTGATTTCCTGGGCAGCATCCTTTGTTGTTGCTTTTCCGTTATCAGTAGGGAATCCTAATCTGCAGATACCCTCGAGAGCACCTCAGTGTGTTTTTGGCTACACTACGAGCCCAGGTTACCGGGCCTACGTGATAGTTATCTTGCTAATTTCTTTTTTTATTCCGTTCCTGGTAATGCTGTATTCTTTTATGGGCATACTCAACACTGTCCGCCACAATGCAGTTCGTATCCATAGCCACCCTGATAGCATATGCCTCAGCCAGGCCAGCAAACTTGGTCTCATGAGCTTACAGAGACCTTTTCAGATGAATATTGATATGAGCTTTAAAACTCGTGCCTTCACAACCATCTTGATTTTGTTCCTTGTCTTCATAGTCTGTTGGGCGCCCTTCACCACTTACAGCCTTATTGCCACATTCAACAGCCACTTCTACTACAAGCACAACTTTTTTGAGATAAGCACTTGGCTCCTTTGGCTCTGCTACCTCAAGTCTGCACTGAACCCACTGATTTACTACTGGAGGATTAAGAAGTTTCATGATGCATGCTTGGACTTGATGCCCAAATACTTCAAGTTTTTGCCACAGCTACCTGGCCATACAAGGCGGCGCATTCGACCCAGTGCCATCTATGTGTGTGGGGAGCATCGGTCGGTAGTGTGAAGCTGCGGTTGTTTGACAATGATTGTTATTTTCTGGGATTATTTGTTTTTAGGCTTTAGGTTGAATTTTGTTTTGTTTAATATGGCTTCTTCAGTGTGGCCATATCTTATAACTTGATTAAATTTTCCAGTACTCTGTGCAATTTTGGGAGGAAAGGTAGAGGGAGGGGAAGTGATTGGTTATAGTTGGGTTTACTACCAGAATACAATGTAAACAAAATAACAAATGTTACCTCTAGGATTCCATGGAAATCCATTCTTTTAAATGAAAACTACATTTGTAACATTTTGTCAGGTTTATGCTTACTAGGCCTGCAATTGCATCTAATTGTAGGGACTTTTTATGCTGCTAAGATACAGTATATTTAGTTGGTGTAATTTTTCTGAAAAATGTTGCTGCTGTCTGCCAATATATTAGAGCCAAAAAGTCTCATTAGATTACTTCTATTTAATTTTAACAACATTTCAGAAGTTTTCATGGTGACGCTTTTTTCTTTTTTTAATATTTCCATTAATATTTTTGTGCACTTTACAAAATTTACTATAGAATTTGTTCATTGGAATATTTTGTTCTGTATTGAAGGGGTATTATTATTTGTTGGTGGATTTCAATTAAAGACCCATATAAGCTCTAGGAGGGCAATTTATTTTGATATAGCTACACGTACAGTCATAGATTTGCTGTTTTTCTAACATTGATCAAAAGTAACATTAACTGCTCAGTTATCAGGGGAGTCGGAAGGAGAAAATGGAGGAACGAAAGGGAAAGAAAGCAATGAAAACAGCATGTCTCGAGGTTCAGGCTAACACAAGAGTTCTTGTGAAAATTGTCACGGGGGAAGGGTGGCTGTAGTTGTTACTTTAGGCTGTTACAAGCTATCCAAACCTGATGGTGTGCCTGAAAACCTATCTGAAATTGTGACTTTGGGCCTACAATTTACACTGTGTTGGTGTAATGCTGTTTCTGCTTGGAGCTCGTATAAGGCTAGGTGTGCTCTACGCTGCTGAAATCATACTGTCAGGTGTTCGTTGGGATAGAATTAGAAATAGTAGGGTAAACCAGCAAACAAATAGCACATGAGCCATAGTTGAGCCTAAGACTTAGTCTGCATAGTAATGACTGGGAAAAAAAATCCTCAACTTGCTTGTTTTCCAGTTTAGGTATTAGACCGAAACCATAAACTGGTAATAACGAATAACAGTGGGCCAGCAGAGTTTGCTGGGGATGTAAGTTAAACTCCCTTTTCCCCTCCGATACTACTTTACATTCATTTTTCATTGCCCCTTTTCCTCTGTAGTGCCTGCTGCCTCAAGGGTTTACTCTGCTGTTCTCACCTATTAGGCATCAGCTACTCTGTCTGAAATGCCAAACCACCTTTCTGATCAGTGTCAGGCTGTCTCAGTACCTGAAAGCAGAAAGGCAAAGGTTTTCCTTGATGATATCAATCCAGACTCAGATATTTATTTATTTTTTAAATCAGCTAAATAAATATTTAATGTGAGGTAAGTAAAATTAAGACTTAGGTTTGGGCTTTGAAGTGAGATCCCCAGTTGCTCTGAGGCTGGGGAAGAATGCCTGCAGAATTTGTGCGTCCTTGCAGTGGGCTTTTGGGGGCTGTCTGTGACCAAGTACAGGAGGATTAATGTACAACATACTTATCAGCCAGGGCTAGGGTTTGAGTTTCTCTTGCTTCCATCTTTCATTTAGTACCCCAAAGCATGGGGACCTCTTCATTGTTCTTGTGCCTGAGGAGCAAATAATAGCAATTTTATCTATTCTGCATAAATATTGAACTGAGTGTATGAAGGAAATGCCCTGTACTGTGTGGATGTCCAGGGACTGCTTGCTTCCTGAGGCCAACTAAACATTTACACCCCAGATTTTATTTAGGTCTTCAGTGAAGAACTAATTTAACAGTTATCTCTGTTCTTCTCATCAACAACTATCAGTAAAAGTGTTGGCAATATTTAAATTTTAGGAGTATAAAAGGAACAATTTTGAATTTAGTAATTACATTTTTTAAAAAAAGCTGCTAGCTGAGGTTGTGGATTACATGTAAAGGCACCCAGGCAGTGGCAATGTTACTGATGTCCGTGCTTTCCATTCCTTGTCAACTTCACTGATGATGATGTGGATTTTTCTGATCAAAATGACAGGCAGTAAAGGAGTTCCGCTGTAAAACAGAGTGTTTTAGTGTGTCTTTGCAGTATAGCTTTTATTTCTCAATTACATTTTCATTGATAGCGGAAGCTTATGACCTGGTTAGTATGGATTTTCTGTTTCAGAGCTGTCATGCCTGTTTATCTCTGAAAGCAGCAAAATTGTGCTTAGAGCTAATGTAATGGAGTGAGAGCATACACTATTTAAGATGGCAGGAACAGGTATTTTTGCTGTCTTCCAGAGCTATAGTGTAAGAGGTTTGAATGAATGTTGTAAAACATGGTAATTCAAGAAGGAAAGAAGATGAGTAATACAGGAAAGTTAGTGAAATTACTTTCTCGAAGGGGGAGGGGAAAACATTTTGTGGGGATTTCATAATCTCCGATAAGTACTGGCTGTGAAGTAGAAATTGCAAACATCAAAGAAAGTTAACTTGTCTTGATAATTTAGCGTTTGTTTACACTGACTGTAACAGGGTTTCCACTTAGAGCTGCGTCTGCTGATACTTGGAGAAAAGAAGCCCAAATTGTGTGGCCCAAATTCAGAGGTGACTTACATGGTGATACAGTATTCACGCTTACCAGGTTTTAGGGGTGACCAGAGCATACAGTGAACAAAAGGGTGTTCAAAAAAAGAGACAAGGTGGCACAGAAGTATCCCCAGGGTAATTATGCATTTACAGAACCATTTGGGCTATTATGTCTAATATACTGTCTTTAGAGCAGTGCCTTGATAATTACAGCTGAAGTCCTAGGACGGAGTTGAAGACTGCTTAACTGCTCAGTCTTGCTGTCTGTGATCCTGCCAAGATCAGCATAACGTTGCTAACATTTGTAATGTTAAAAACACAAACGTGTTGGCAGGATTGGGGCTACTGAGGCATTTTAGTGGGCTTGACCTTGACCAAGACCAAGGGTTTTAAAAACTGAAATTGATCCTTGTTGATTCTACTGAGGAATTATAAATTTTCTTCCTCTCCAGAAATGATACTCGTTACTAAACTGTATTCCCTCATGTTACATTTTCAGAAATCTTTGGTATGGAGGATTGAAATGAATGTATTTTGAATTATGTTGCAGTTTAATTCATTCTGTCAAAGCATGCTGCTTACACAAGTCTCATTTGTATGAATCTATTGCTAAAATGATTCTTTTGTACTCAAAGTTGTGCATTTTTGACATTTCTTGTTGCTCGTGTAAAAATATGTATATAGAGAAGAAAATTGTTTTGCCTCTTACTGCTTTCTGTTACTGTTTTTTTCACTTGTATGATTAATGCTTTCATATTTCCTTTTGTTTGGGCATAGGCATAAACAATTGCAAGATTTCAGTGGTCTTTCTGCAACTGTTTGAGATTTTTTTAATTCTCAGATCATTCAACAATGCCCTCCTTGAAAGAGATTTTGATTTATCTTTGTGTGAAAGCTAAAAATTCAGAGCACAAGTTTGTTGCGGTTGGAATGGTGAGGGATTTAAGTCCAGTTTTCCAGGAGCCACTACTTCGCCATTGTGAACTGGTTTGATCTTTTTTTGAGGAGTAGTCATTTTCTGATGTGGAGAAGCCGTGAATTACTGTTTTAAAACAAGCTGTTAAGAAGAATGGCGTTGTCTTTTCTGTACATATTACACCTGTGAAAATACCTGAGAAACAAAAAAAAAAAAAAAAAGAAAGAATAAACATGAACATTCTCCAAAAATGTAGCAAATGTCTATAGAATTGCTCTATCTTTGTGCATTCACAGGTTTCTTGGCTTTAATGCCCAACTTCATAGTTTCAAACACTTCATTTTATCTGTATATTAAATAACAAAGATTGTTTGCCTGATTTAGATGGTTTTGTTTAAGCCAAAATGTTTCTTGTGCAAAGAATTTACAGAATGCTCTTTTCTGAGACATCAGGGTAGAGATGTGTCAATATATCTAAAACAAATGAAATAATATCCAGCAAAAGAGAGAGGGAGCCTGGAAAGAAAATATCTTGCCTAAAAAAGCTACCTGAACTGGGTGTTACACCTTTTAGCTAGGACTGAGTAATGAAGATCATCAGGCAGTGGTACTGCATGGCATGATTCATTTCAACACAAGACAGTGACCTTTATGATTCAAGTGCTGCATGTTCGTATGTGATGGATTATTCCCCATATTAGTAGAATGAAAAATGTTCAGCATCTTGGCTGTTTTGGGGAAATTTTTCAGCCTGCTAATGGTTTAGCAGAAATTCTGCTGGAGTAATTTCTCTAAATGATAGAGAGTCAAGGCATGTCCCTAAAGAGTGCCTGAGAGGGGATGGGTATTTCCAGTTGCTCGGGAAGGGCCTTGCTCAGCTGCCCACATGCCTAATTTTGAGACTCCTTCCTTGTACAACACTTGCAACAACCACTTCTTCCTCCCTTCTCCTCTCCTGGTCCCCTCCACCTCCCCGAGGTAGCGCCTTCTCTACTGCTGTGTTGCAGCAGGTATGATGGTGGCAGGAGATGCTGGTGCTGATGGCAGGTGGAGGTGCCTGGAGAAGCTGTGGAGCCAGAAAGCACCTAGTGCCACTCCCTCCCATCTTGAGTACAGTTTGGACCATCTGTGACGGGCTGAGGGTCAGTTTTACCACCTTTGGTTATAAGATTAGAGCTGACAGGGAAGAGCTGTTAGAGGAGCACGTATATTTGCCTCTAGTGCTAGTGCAGGATTCTGGTTTTATCCCCAGTAGTGTTACAAGTTTTATTCCACCTCTGCCTTTTGGCAACTGAGCTACAACAGACTATAGCCAGTTCATGGCTGAATAAGAATCCCTTAGCTGACCCCGTGTCTCCGTGAGTGCCCTGGGCATAGGACCTGCCGGTGAGCACC